TACTAGATCTGACTTGCTGATTTTGTAACAGTTTGACACAAATAAAAAACAATAACAGCTGCAAACTTACCAGGTTTATGAATTGATAGACCTGCAACCTGCAACTTGACAAGTCAAAATCCACTGACGATGCAGGAAACACCCACACCCTAGACCGTGTTTTCCTCCAACTGAGCTATGTTACCCCTTACCGGTAGTCTGAGTCATTGTGTGAACCTGTGCACTCATACCCAGAGGGTCTGGCCAAACTTGTACTTTGAAACCTTGTTGTTGGCAACATTCCCACCCCCCGGTGGAAGGGAGCCAAGTTCAGTAACTAGGACATCTAATCCGGGTCTGATGGAAGAATTTGGGTGGCAGTAACTTAAACCAACAGTCAAATTCTGCAGGTAATGCCCATTGGTCCTAGGAGACATTCAGAAGGTCAAGCAACAAGTCAATGGCTGAACATTATTCTATTAGTGCCCCCTGGTGGATCCTGTGAGCAGTGCAACCTAGGAAATTCTTATTGTGTGGAAAAATATCTAAGTTCTAGTTGCCTAGTAAGGACAACTAAAACTGTACATCCAGTACTTACTAGCACAAAATGTATATGTTCACGTTGGTTTACACCAATTGTCTCAATTGTAAAGACATTCAAATTTCATACTGCATGTTCACAAAAAACGCTAGTAAAGGGACTAAAGATACTAAAGGAGGTTTTAATCATGTAATTAACTTTTTAAACCTCATTATGCACAATGTTTTGTTACTTGTAAGGTTGTCCTTTGGAGAGTATTCCATTTGTTTCAGCATGTTTCAGTGTTTCAGGAACAAAAACACCAAACTGAAATGTCATATAAACACATTGATGTCAAGGCAGCAATCCGTTTTTGTTGAAGTTTAACTCCATGGACACAGCACCCTGTGTGTAGAATGTCATTCTTCATGAGAAATGTCACAAGCAAATGCCACTTCTAAGGGGCAACCGCCACTCAAACACCTATAAACTTCACTTAATGTGTTTTTGTGCGGTACGTTCAGACTATCAATATAGGTCAAGTGCGTATGGGACAATCTGGTTGAACAGTTATCGCAGTAGGGGGATATAAACAAGTGTTCTTGAAACTTGATGGATGTGAGTTCAACTATAGAGGTCAAGAGTTTCCAAGGTAAGAAAAAATCATGTGGTCAAGGTGCACTTTGGTATCAGCAATGACTGATGAGGCTCTGTGGGGAGCAAAATCTAATGCCAACCTCCTCTCAGCTGTTGGAAAATGTCAAGAAATTATTGATTTATTCATCCGCACAGATGGTGGGGTCCTTTTTGACCCTGTTCATACCAGACTTATATAAACCGGTTGAAACCGCTAAATAATTAACCCGGCAAAAACCCGTCGCGTTCACACCAGACTTACAAAACCGGTTTTTCAAAAACCCTGTCCAGTGAATATCCGGTTAATCGGCCATTACCAGGCTCCTCCAACATTTTTGTTTCGGTAGAGACCTCAATAGAGCCCTCCCCCCAGCTTTTTCGAATTCGGCGATCAACTCCTGCTCTCCAAAAATACGTATCGGGAGCGTCTCGTCCACCGACCAGGTTGCGTTGGCTGATTCCATCGTAAAAATGAAGAGAAACCGTGGAAAAACAGTGGAAACGGTCTAAACAGCGCGATCAAAAAAGCTTGGAGGTCGCACACGGCCAGGATGCTGACCCCGTGACCCCAGAATTATGACGCAAAAACCGGTTCAATAAACCCTTAGCGTTCAGACCAGGTTTTTCGGTGGAAAAACCCCTCAAAAACCCCTCAAAAACCACCTCCCGAGGTGGTTTTTGAAAATCGGATTTAAGCCCCTAAGAAACCGGTTAATTTGCGTTCACACCAGGTTAAATAAAAACCGGTTTTTGAAAAACCGGTTGAAACCGCTAAATATAAGTCTGGTATGAACAGGGTCTTTGTCATTGTCTAGACAACCCAAAGCACCACAAAATGCAGAAATATAAATCTGTTCCTAGTGATGCCTACCTAAACTCAATTTTACGTTCAGGTCCGGATTCAAGTCAAACTTGTAAGTCCGGACCTAAACCCATGACATATAGTATATACAAAACTGCATGTTGGCAACCTTGCAATGTTGTCTGAGTGAAACTTTGGCCACATAACATGGAGGCTGACACTTGACGATGCCCGATGGAAATGTTGTCTTCGTTTTGCAGCAAAAATTTTGCAATCTACGGAAGGTTTTAGGTGGTTTGGAAAGAAAAGAATGTCAATTTCCAGGTGACATGCAAGTCATCTCAAACGTCAAATTGAATCAAACCCAGCATATCCTACCCTCGAGAGCAGTACCACCGTGGGAGCATAGATACAACCCTTTGAAGAAGTCGGCATCAAAAGTATAAAAATCCTTCTTACTCAGATCCACAAGCCACCCCAAATGAAGTATAAACCGTGCCTTTGTGAATGGTAGTCTACTGGACACACAATAATATGAGACAAAAACATGGAAGAAGATTACCATGTTGACATACACACATACATTCATTCAACCACGTTCCGCACCGATGGCTCTGAATCTATGGTTGGATTTACAGGTAACATTTGTAGGGACTGCCTGGCGGATGTGAGACAATTACATGACCTATTACCTCAGGCTATGATGATAGATTCCGCACCAAAAAGTCCTGATACGTTTATTTGGTTGATTATATGATAACAGTTGGACAATGGGACTGAAAAATGCAACCCATCCTTGGTGAACTATAACATGGTCAATTTTCCCCACAGCCTTTGCTAGAGTTAAACAAGTGTGTGATTATGTGAATGATATCTATCCCATCTATCTAGACCAAATATGTTCACATCACACTTGTGAATTTCTATCCTTGCATCTTCATAGCCTGGGTGCCAGACCCATAGCACACTGGACACTGCTCACTGAGATACTTTGTGTCCAGTGTGCTATGGGTCTGGCACCCAGACTAGCATCTCCAAGGAGATGACAGCAACTTAGGAAACTCAAGTAATATTGACCATCAATAAAAATAATTTTCAGTAAAAAAACAGTAAATAATGCAACAACGGGCACAGCTTATGGGGAGGACATGAGTCGGGAACGCGTAAACTTTACGCCTTACGAGCCGGGTTCCCAGGAAATGTTCAAAGAAATTGTGGTATACATTGTACATATTAAATGCGAGTCAATTCGAGGTGTGAAACCCTTTCCAGTGTGGGTGCAAGTTTTGAATCAGGGAAGCAAAATATATTCCGTTTCATTTCGGATCGTGGCCAAACCGGAACACATTTTGAATCACGAATGAGGCCATAGAGTACTGGGTTTTAGGCTATGGGAACATCCTTGGGCAGAATTCCCAAAAGAAAGTAGGGCATGTTTCATAAAGCCAGGTGTGGTAGGAAAGGACTCATCATCATCTCAGAAAGATTACCATTACCACCTGTTCCCAGTACAAAAGTCTGTCCAACCCCTAGTAATAATACACCACAAATCGTGTACAACTCTCCAATCACATTACTTCAGCTTTCTCAACCCTTTTGATGCACAAGCGGGTAGGATAAGTGGATTAAACGGACCACAGGGGGTTTTGCTATCACACTAATTGCACTCAACCTTTAGTAAACTCTCCTGGTTATTACAGGATCAAACGTGTCACTTCCGTCATACGTTTCTCTACGTTTCATCAAAGTGTATCAAATAACAAAGGACAGGTAAAATTGTTGGGACATCTTGTGTCTGTGAAAGGGATGTATGTTATTTTTTCTAAAAGACATCAAGGAGAGATATTTATCAACAATTTTCTGACAGGATTTTCATAGCAAACTAATGTACGGACTGGAAGGTTTGAAACCACTTCTGCATAAGATGTTCTTGATAAAAATGCATTTTACTTCATTTTTAACACCCCCCTGCAATTCCCAATGGGATAGCCCTAATCCAGGTATCAGTGGGGCCCCTGTAGTCACAGTTTGATTGACAGGTCACAAAATTCCAGGTCTAGCTTTTCGGCTGTTACAGCCAAAGGCTAAAACTGGTCACCTCTTGAAAATGGGAGGGTCATTTAGCCTGACTTACTGTTAGTAACACATTAAAAACTGTTTCAATCCTTTCTGTTGTTATGAGATAATTTCCAAAGCAAACAATTAGTTTCATTTACACTAAGCTGAAATGTGATGCTGATTTATCCAAGGAGGTTCCATGATTTATCTTAGGAAGAAGCCAGATTGACCAGATGTATGGGGGCCAGCAAGCCCTTTTCCATAGAGCGTAATCGGCCGTTTTAATTCTACGAAGAGCATAGACGGACCGCTCTAATATTTTTGCGTAGAGCATATTCGGCGTTTTAATTCTACATAATGCCTTGTAGCCACTTGGAATTTATCGTAAAGCGTAATCGAGAGGTTTCCGAATTCAGCGTAGAGCATTGTCGGGACCCCCCCTTGCAGGCCCTCATGTATGTAGTGCTTCAAGTCAACTAAAAATCACATCAATGTTTCCAGCCAGTTTGGCACAAGCTAGAGCATTTTACCCATCTTGAATGGGTGACCAAACACAACAAGGCAATTTTTTTTAGTTACAAAACAGCCCAAAGCACTCGCAACAGGAAGAATGGGATTACACTGTTCAAGCATCTTTACCTACATGTATACACAACTTCTCTAAACAAGGATATCAAAAGCAGATTTTGTTACAACAAACTTTGTTTACAGAAGTTTCTGTCTTCTACTGGTCATAACTGCTCCCTGTTGGGTTCTACGCTAGATATTTTTGTTGGGAATATTGTATTTCTGCATAGAAATCCATTTACATGTATCTCAAGGCATCAAATCATGACTAACTTACTACACTGAAAATAAACAAATTCCAGGCCAACTTCTGGATTTCAAAACTGCTGCAATCATATACGATACACATTAAGTGTCATTGCCATAATGTAGAAGAACATTTCATTGCTGCAATATAGAAAATAGAAGCCACAGTCCACTACTAAAAAATGTACTTACATTCACGGATGACAGAAGTCCAGTACAGCTTGCTTGTAGTTCCTTGTGGTTACCTCTCTCTTGTACTGGCTCACACTATCTGAAGTCTGCAGCACACTTCTTCCTTTATATATCCAGTCCTCCAGCAACTTCTAACAAAATTGCAAAACAAACACTCAGTTGTCTTGATCAGAAAGCCAACAGTGAGGCTGGCACCAAAGAGTTTTTAGGTGCAAGTTGTGCCAACGAGTGCACTAGTGAAAAGAACAGCCTCTGTCCCTGTGCTTTGGTTGTTGTCCTCTGGTCTGTGTGTGTATTACACTTGCCAGACAACTCCAGGTTGTTCACAGCTTTATCAGCCTAATTGTCATTTCACAAGTAGATCTAACCAATCTGATGGGTCCATTCAAATCCTCCAGCCAATCAGGACTGGTCCTGCAACTTCAGGGGTGTGGCCAACCCTTTGAAGTGGAGCCAGCTACTTTTCACACAATGGGGGAGAATAATGCCCCGACTTTTATGCTAATGAGAGGCAGCTTTGATGTTGTATGAAATTGATTTGTGTCTGAAAACATCAAAGGGGCTGGAAGACAGATATTTAACAGGTGACAGACATATATCAACCTGTCAGGCAGTCTGGTGCAAGAAGTCTGCAAAATCTTGTGGATAATCCATTGTAGCTAGACTGATGGTGCCTAATCTTTTGTTCCTAATCCATTTCAGTTCATTTGACTCAAGAAAAGTTCACAGATTAAGATTTTGAAGATGCGTTGCACGCAATGTGTAAATTTAGTATATTTTACGACTATTGCCCTGGTTGATTTTTAATTGCTACCATTGGAAAAAAATGACTGCTAATTGAGTCATATGGAGGAGATCTTGGGAGCATGCCTTCAGGCATTCATTGGTGGCATACATAATATATTGTGTCTTCTGTCCAAAAACTTATAGGAGAAAACTGCAAGAAATCAGCAATTCTTTACAGCAATTCTGTTTCACTTAAGCAATAATTCAGACAAAAATCTGTAAAAATGGCGTTTCAACTTGCAATACACAATTTTTTAATCATGCCAATCATCATAAGAAAAACACCTATTGTAAACAAAGTTTAATACATATGTATGGCCCGGTATCACAAAGGAGGCAAGAACAACAGATTAGAGTGCATAGCTCTCATACTCCTGGTGTTGTGGAAATACTGGGATGGTGCCATTAGAAAAGAACAACAAACAGATTTGTTATTTACAGTACAGCTTGCCGCTCTGCGTTTCTACGTCTGATTCTAGCGGTGTGCGCTTTCTTTTCACAGATGTGAAATGCAACGCAAGACCAACAAATTTCATATGCCTGGAGATTACGAGAACACAAAGTTAGCTACATGCCGTGAAGAGGGCATAAGCTGGCAATGACTTGTCACCAAGGCCACACCAATTTAATTTCTTGGTTAACGGATTTTTCTAGAAAAATAATGGAGCGGGCGGGCGAAAAAAAAATAAAAATAAAAACAGGCCTAGACATCATATTATGGCCCAAAATGGTATGATAGGAGCCATGAAGTCAACACACCAGGCTGGTTTGAATTCAAACAATGAATTTTGAACTTTTAATGATACCATTGCATTGAAAGATGGAATAACTGTAACAACTAGGATGAAAAGGTCTGTTTTCAACTGTTCAGGACAAAATATGAGCATTTTGCATTTGATTATGGATTTTTATTTTTATTTGAAAATCTAAAAAAAATGAAGCGGCGAATCCGTTAACCAAGAAATTAAATTGGTGTGGCCCAAGCTAGACATATCAGCAACATCATATGTTGTTGTGCAAATAAAGTTGCATTACATAACATCCTTGACAGGGCTCTAGCAAGCACCTATTTTTCCGTAAATTGCAGGAACTTTGTGGCGTGTGAAGGAAAAATTTTGAAACCAATCCGTCAACCTTGATGGACCAAATTGATGAAAAAACTTGGATAGAAATATAAAAACATCACAAGTATCACCAACAATCACTCTCAACCCAAGATTTGCCTCTCAAAATATGGGAAATTGTGTACTAAAGTAAAGGCTTGAAGATACAAAATTTGTCCCCAGATTTCCTTAGGTTACGAGCATTCTCCTCCCAGGTCCGATCATGAACCTGGGCTGACAAAAAAATATTTTAAGCTATCCAGAGCCCCGGTCCTTGAAAATACCAAAGGTGGCACTGCTCTGGCCAACAGATACTAGTACTGCCTTGCCACCATATGATCTGCTTGGATATTAGCTAGATACAAGAAATGTGATGTAACAAAGGAGGTTTTAAAACTCCTTGATCCAACTAGACAGAGATAAATTGAACAAGACATCCACTACACAGTAATACATGTGTACCTAGTAATCAATTTGGAGGCAAAAGCATTGCTAAGAAAGCATGTAATTGAATACCCAGGGTGATAGCAGTAGTTGATAGAGGAGTAAAATGTTGATAGAAGAGATGATTGGATCTAAGACAGCAGGTAGCCATTAAAGGGGGCCCCCAAGCCCTTTTCCGTAGAGCGTAATCGGCCGTTTTAATTCTACGTAGAGCGTAGACGGACCCTCTAATTCAACGTAGAGCGTAATTGGCGAATTTGACGTAGAGCGTAATTCGCTGTTTTAATTCTACGTAATGCGTTGTAGCTATCGGGAATTAACCGTAAAGCGTAATTGATTAATTGTGCGTAGAGCGTAATCCAAGCCGCAAACGGGAACTCGAGGCCTCGCAAGTGCCGGGTTGTCGCGGCGCTCGAGGTCTTCTTGCTTACCCCTCTATCAATCGACAATCCACTAGACTTGTCCCAGAGCCATACACAAGAACAAGGCAACACATGGGAATGATCCCACAATGCGCTGGGTACGAGATTGACCTTACCATCGGTGACGTACAGGAGGACCATTGGCCAAACGCCACAGATGGCCACAGATGAAGAGGGTAGAAGGCCTTAGAACCACATGACTTGTAAGGCCCAATAGGGGCCCTCAAGACGTTTCTTAGCGGGAACATCATTGCTGATCAATGGCCAGGGTAATGGAGGACACTCCCGAAAAGAGCAATGTCATCCCCGTCATTGTGCGGGTGATGGGTAACGCGGGACTGTCAGCAATCGGCAGCTGAGTCGTTTTGACAAATTACACTGTATTGTTTGCGGCCTTTTCTACCTTCGGACGACAACCCCACAAGGCTCAAAGGTCCACTTTTTGGTCCACTTTTTATCTAAAGGTCCAAGACTTTTCTTTAAAAGATGAACTGATTCGTCTCACCAGCAAGGCTGGAATCCGTTGTAGGAAAACTGCTCACTTTGTCATTGAAAAAGTTATCTCTGATTTTTTCTTTGAAACCCTCTAAAAACGCAGGAAATGCCATTTCAGAAGGTTCATTTTTCAAAGTTGGCCCCCCTTCAAAATTCTGGCTACGGCCATGTTACCTCCATTCACGGATCTCCCTCCGATCTTCGGGCGATCGACTCGCGGTCAAGTTGGTACCTGCGGTAATACTGAATACCCCGTTTTGTATTCTATACTTTCAATGTATAAGGAAGTGACCGCCGGTTACTACTTTTAATTCAAGTTATGTCACCTCTACATGTAATAAATCAAAAGGTTTTCATGCAAACATGTAGTTGCTAGGTGATTGTCAGATTGAGTTCTGCATAGTGCGTCCGGAATCTTTCGAATTTAGCGTAGAGCGTAGAGAGGCGTCCGGAATTCAGCGTAATACGTAGCCGGCTCTCAAAATTTAGCGTAGAGCGTTGTCGGGACCCCCCCTTGGAGGCCCCCATTAAAGAGATGATCCCAGAGGAGGAAGTCACACTGTGGCTGCTTTGAAGGAACAAACAGGCATGAAATTGAGATCAAAAAGGTGATCTGAATCTAGGAAGCAATTGATAAACCATGATATCATTACTAAACAGCTCAGCAAACAAACAGAAATGGAGGGGGATGGTTTATAAGCTCTACTTCACTGATACTGTGTATTGCAGTATTTAGTTCAAGCAACCTCCCTCTACCACTCTGGCCTCTATGACACAATGACATCTTGACTTGGTTTCAAGTTCAATGGCCTTTTCCATTTCCGATGCAGGCTTGATCATGAACAATGTGTACAGCACATGCGACTACAGATATTAGGCGGAAACCTCTTACCATCTTCTACAGTATTTTTTTCAGTGATACTGCTTCTTCACACTAGTACAAGTGAGACAATATAGTGACAAGGAAGTTGGGGAGGCTTCAAATACTCCTTTAGCAGACCAACTCCCCTGCTGTCATTTTATCTGTCTATTTGGCCAATTTCTACTCTTTTCAGCTGCTTCCGAAGCCTGGTACAGGCTAGGGAACGAGTAATTTTGTGCTCAAGATACTTAAACTTTTCTTCAATGTGTACAAACGTTGCTTTGTCACCAACTTGGTGACGGATTTCTTGCAGAAATTCCTCCATCTGGAGCATCACAGCAAGCTCCTCACAAATACAGTGAAGTGCGTAATTTGATGAGTACTACATGGAGATTATAGGGGATGATCCCCTGTTGCTACATTGATAGGGATCAGATAGTTTCTACCAGATTAAACAGTTGGAAGCCATTCAGGGACCATCAAAGAAACATCCATTTTTTGGAGAAGCTGTAATGTCAGCTGCTGTTGGGATTTGAGGCACAGGAACCATATGGGAGTCAGGCCATCTGACACAAGTGCTAAGTTTTACAGTCTGGTGCCACTGCAATGTCATCACAACATGCGGCATCCCAAAATTGCAGAGAAGTTGAGTCAGAATGTGACACGTTTGTGCTCCTTTTAACAAAGAGAAGTGGGCTATGGGAAAAATACAAAATTGTATGGTTCGTCTTTGTTTGCTTGAGGATTAGAAAGGTGTATACCATAGCCTCTCGAGGAGGCAGTGTTTTATCAAACAAGGCTTTCCTTACATCAGTTCATCTTTTTTGGGCTTTATGGTGAAATTTTGAAAGAAAAGAAGAAGTTGCCTTTTTGGAACCAGTGAAGTTTTTGACACTAAAGAGCCAAAATATCTCAGTCATCTCATGAATTCAGTTTTTTTCCTATTATTCATATGATCTCAAAACTCTGACAAACGTTGTATTATAGACCAACAATGCCATGAAATGACATTTATTTCTGACAAGCTGTTTCTTCTCTGTTTCTCTCCAAGCTGAGGACATGTGTGTATGTGACACTGGGGTCCTGCTGATACCTCCTGCCTACAGAGGAAGTCCAGCATGTGGCCATTAGCCCATCATGGTCAAGATAACAGATAACATCTCTTCATTCCTCTCATCATATCATATGTGTGACCACATATACATCATATGCAGTCTCAAGAACAAGACTATGATATTACACTACTGGGGAAAAAATCTTGACAAAAATATCAGCAATGTGACAAATTTGATATTCTCTACCTGTAAACTGTAAATTACATTCCGTTGTATATGGACCATTTCTAGCAAGTTTTCCTTTGCAAGTTAACATAATCCCAAGAGGATTTTCTCATAGTAAACTTTCAAAAAGTGGTCCAAATATCTCTGTAGTACTAGTATTAATTTTGCTACACAATATTTGCTTAACTTTTAAATTTTTCCTTATAAAAACCTTACTTATCCTGCTATTAAACCTAGCAAACAGACTAAAATTATACAAACATACATGCCTCGATGTTTTACATTGTCTGGTATCCAAACCTACATGTAGCTTAACTGCTGATTTTCTTTCGTTCTCTCTGCAAATAGAGGAACAATTTACGGAGAGGACGAAAGAGACTCAGCAGCTAAAATAGGTTTGGATACCAGGCTACCAATGTCTGGTACCCAGGTTATACACTCTTGGCAAAAAGGAATGGCACTAATTTCTAAACAAAGATTCCAAGATTCTATAACTCAACAGTTAAGTGATTGGCCTTTCACAGATATGCTAGAGACGAGCTTATTGTTTGCCACAGTCCGATAAAACTCAAATAAATCCTACGGTTTGATGAAGCTATTAGAGAATTTTGTCAGGCAGAGAACTTGACAGTGAAGTGCCATGTTTTTGTGTTCAAAACCAAATGAACCAAATCTATGCACTTTTCCAGAATACAAGTTACACTTATAAAGTTATATCTTTGAAAGTACAGGTAGAAAGTACTTGTAATGAGAGAAACTTCATGGATATTGCAAGATGAGATCAAATCGAGAGGAAAGTAGAGAATGAGCAAAGGCTACCTTACCTGCAATCTACCTTCTCCTTTCTTGGAATGAAAACAAGTGCTCTTACACCAGGCCTTGTATGTTGTTGGGACATACCAAATTTCAGGGTGGCAACTTGTTACAATGGTGTGGAGCTATACAGATATACTAAGTACTGAATTAAACTGGATGTTTGGAAAGCTGCGAAAAGACTGGAAAATTAACAGGAAATAAGTACGATGTGAATTTGAACAAGCAGAAGTTTTTGAAGGAGTAGAGAAAAATGTGACATACAGGTGTATTTACCTGTGTGAAATGTGGTAGAACCCCCCGCCAGTTGTCGACGACAAGGGTCCTCTTCCGTTATCACAGCTGGGTGCTGAGGGTCACAATGGACAGTCCTGCCGTGTAATCTTTCACGTGGAACCTTCGGTGAATGCCCTCTCCGGCGCGGGAAATCCGATCACCTTTTGTCTTTGCGGGCCCTTCTGACAGAGGAATGCTGAGACAAGTGGGCTCGGCTCCTGAAAAGAAAAATATTGACTTATGGTCGAGTGGTGGAGGGAAACCGCTACATGAGTGCACCAGCCAGCCCGTGCCGCCCGACATTTCCGAAAACCCTTCCCCCAATCAAAGAATATACCAGATTATCCGCAGCTTGAAAGGGGATAAGGGCGTTTCATGTTAATCCCCAACAAATACGCTAAAACAAAAGTAAAGGGTTTCATTGCATGGACTGATTAATCCAATATTCTAAACAAGGCAAGGCCAACAACTGGGGTAGAAAAATGTCAGATTTGTTTTTATGAACTTCCATAGAAACCGCGAAATCCTGTCAAATCAAGGCGACGCCCTCTACTTCATAGAGGCATGGAGGATGCTTCTTCCAGGATGTACGAGAGATAAAAATCTTCTTGATTCTAACTCGGAGACATCGGGCGTCGCCAGTGTCTGTACTCTAACAGGTGGATTGCCTCTTCCAGGCGACACGACTGGTCATTAGTTGAGCCATGTTTTGATACTTGCCATAGAAACCAGCCCAAACTTGTCACAATATAGCAACAGTAGTTGCTTTAGGCTTTAAAAGTTTAACACTTGATTCACACAGAAATTTCCAAGAGTTCTTACCCATTTAAGTATTGCTTGAATATAACATTCTGATTCTTTTTTCCAAAGTAAATAATGGTTGAAAACAATGAAATCCACTATGAACATTTTAGATACAACCAAATAACTACAATACTTAAACCTACAATGCATCATGACTTTGTATAACGTGACGTTACATAAAAAAGAAAATGCATGTATGGTTTGGATACAGTGATTTTATTAGTGACTTTTCTCAGTTTATCTCGTTCGAAGCATGTCAGTTGAAACAACAACCATATCCCAACCTTGCTTTAGCATAATCTGATTTCCTTGGAAAGAATGACAGTGCCTTATGCCATGTGAGTTACTGTCAAACCCCGGAAAACTGTTCTTTCTACAGCATTATCAACAAAGGATTAGGGTTGGTAATGCCCGATGAGATTCAGAGCCACAGAAACAACATGTAACTGTGTACTGTTGATATAAGATATAGCTGTTGAGTGAATATTTTGTTCGTAGGAGTAGGATGCAGTGTTCTATTTCTGTAAAAAGAAATACTGGATTTTCAGGAACAAATGCAAAAACGATACGTTTAGAAAAGCAAATCTGAGAAAGCTTCGGTCTTCTCAAAACACCCAGGCTTTATTTCAGATGAAAAGAAAGACATCAGATACTTCCAGAATAGAAAATGGTAGGAATCAGATACTAGATAAATGACTGACAAATTGAACAGGAAAGCATTGAAGAAAGATGAACCCCTATCTTTTTTTACTGTTTATACAAAAGAAAGTCATGAAAATCTGACTGGTGTTAGTTTAGTGAAATCCATGTCAACTGAACTTCTTGTTCCCTCAACTTTTTCGAGAGAAAAGTTTAACTGTATTGAAAACTATCTGGTGACAATATTTTCTGATCTCCAAGCAGATTCTAGGTAGCCTGGGTACCATCCGGATTTTCGCTCCGCAACACTCGAAAAAAATGATTTTTCAAGCTTTGCGGACCGAAAATCCGGATGGTACCCAGGCTAGATTCTAGGGTGGCACGGCTGTATTAAAACCAAGGAAGTTAAAAATCATGATTAAAATTGAAGCTACTTTCTGTAACCATTGGCCAAAGGAGTGACCATATCCAGAGGTCATTCCTTTAGACAATGGTTACAGCTGTAGGATCTGCTTGGAGATTATTATTTTCCACAGTGACAGCAGTTTTTGCATGTGGCTATGTCTTCTATAACTTTTCTGTGTAATTCAAGCTCAGATGAAACTCTGGGATGGGACTTCCTTCAACTGTTGGGGCCAAAATATGAACCTTTTTAATGAACATTTTTAATTGGTTCTGAACCAGAATCTTGTTTTTCTTCTACAAATCAGAAAAAACATCTGTGAACCAACAAATTAAATTGGTGTGGCCTAATGTTACCCAGAAGAGGTTGGTGTTACTACTGAATGATCAAGTCAAGGTCTATAAATAGTGCCTGTCCCTGGTGCTGACAAGGCCTTCTTCACTTCCACCACTGTCACCAACAACCAACTGTTCTCTCCAAATCGTCCATGCAAGGCCAAGTCACAGATACGCCAACGATACATGAGGAACCGCTGACAAATGCATCTGGCAAAGATTGTATCAGAGGCTTGTTTGACTCCTTGTTCTTCGGTTGGAGAAAAGATACGAGAGGGTCTGTATGGGGGTCTCGACAACGCTCTACACTAAATTTTGAAAGCTGGCTACATATTACGCTGAATTTAAGAAGCCTCCCCATAACGTTTCCCTATAAATTCTGGGTAGCTACAGCGCATTACGTAGAACTAAAACAGCAAATTACACTCTACGCAAAATGCGGCAATTACTGTCTACGTTGAATTAGAGCGGCCCGTCTACGTTCTGCATGGAATTAAAACGGTCGATTACACTCTACGGAAAAAGTCTGCTTCAGTGAGAACATGTCATCATCGGGGGAAAGCGTGGACCATTTGCGGTGGGGAACTTCAAAACAGGGTCCTTGAAGTTTTCAGTTTGGTCTGGGGTTGACCTGTCATGTTTGTTTACTCGTAAACACGCGTATGTTTGACTTTGTATTTGCCCATGAAAAACAATTACCTAAAGGTGAAGAATTTTCACAGACCATGACTTGAGATTTTGAACACAACCTTTTATGTTTCACCAATAAAATTGACCATTTATTTTTTGGCCTGCAATAATAACATTTTCCAAAGAGTAACCAGTGCTCACAGCTAGGCCACATAATGTATTTTCCAGTACTTGAGAATACAAGTATAAGAACACAGACTAATGTATTGTCCCAAGGTATCTGTCAGGGCTGATATGGCTAATCTACCCTGAGAACACAATAGCAGAGTATTATAGGAGGGCCTGCAAGGGGGGGTCCCGACAACGCTCTACGCTGAATTTGGAAACCTCTCGATTATGCTTTACGATAAATTCCAAGTGGCTACAACGTATTACGTAGAATTAAAACGGCGAATATGCTCTACGCAAAATGCGAAGAGGGTCCATCTACGCTCTACGTAGAATTAAAACGGCCGATTACGCTCTACGGAAAAGGGCTTGCAGGCCCCCTATTATAGGCCTCCAAATGATGTAACGTATACTCTAGACAAACAAATGCTTACATTTTGAAATAGCACTCATTAGCAGCAAGGACAACCTGTATAGTGACTTGGAATTAACCTTGTTGTAACACAGCAAACAGTTTACTTCATATATCAAAACTGAATTATGGAATCAATTGAGTTAAGAAGTTCTGTACATTATTGTGTGTGAGGATCAAAGTATGGATATTAAATCATTGTGGCAAATTGTGCAAGCTTTTAATCTTATGGTGATTCATAAAAAATCACAGAATTGTCAGTGGTTTGACCCCAACTGCAAACATACTTACAAGATAGACAAGCAAGACTATAACAGGAAAAACAACCAACAGTGCACAAAAGTACATCATCGGGATCTTTAGATGATGCAGCATGCAATTCCACATAGAATAGCAGACATCTAACTTAGCTTTATGTCAAGTTTTCCTATTACTAAAGTATAAGCCAAGAAGTATGTGAAAAGGGCAGGTAAATCAGGTATAAGGCTTCTCGTATGTCACTGCTCAGTGGTCTAAGAAAAGTCCTGTTGAAAACATCCTTTCATTGCAGCTGACCCGCAGCAACTCTGGCAAACAGGAGTCTGTACCATTAACCACTGCACTACTGCGGCATTATAGCCTCTACCGCAGGCTCATGGCAGGAGTCTGTACCATTAAAGGAGTACTAACCTCCAGAAGGAAGTGCTATTTTTCGATACATTATGCTCCAATGAATACATAACTAGCCGACTTTTTACATAATTTCGCTTGTACGAGTTGAGCGGAGCATGTTTGTAAAGTGATATTAATATCATTTTCCCCCATGCTGAACCACAATTGATACATCCGGGAACTCTGGCTTACGCAATGCTCATACACTTCAGGTCAACATAAACATTTTTCGGCGAAAATGGTAGGAGACAAGCACACTAACAAGCTGATGATTGAGAAATTACTTGCTTTACTTTGCTTGACCTGTGGCTTGGATATTATAATATCAGGATGTCGAATACAGTGGGAGCCAGTTTCATCCTGCGTGTTTTGATTTTCTCAACTTATTTGCATGTAAGTATCGCTTGAACAGATAATTAGATTACGCCACTTTTGGATAGGATAACTAGATTACGCCGTTTTTTTCATCGTCAATATTTGCGGCATAAATGAGGGGCGATAAGGACACCAAGAAGGGCAGTGGTTGGTAAGATACCAAAGAACACAAAACGGTATGAATTTTTCTTATCGCCCCCGAAATGAGGTCTGTAACGTAACTTTTTGTTTAAAACATAGACACTAATGGGGTAGCGCGGTGTATTCTGGGATAGTTATGAGGGTATTTGGAGAGTTTGTCCTGGATTCGATGCGTTTTAAGACTTGCGCGCAAAATGGACATTTAATTGTATACTGTAAAATAATATGCATTTTTCAATTCCAAAAATAAATGCCTGTCGAAATATAGCACCTCCTTCTGGAGGTTAGTACTCCTTTAACCACTGCACTACTGCAGCATTATAGCCTCTACTGCAGGCTCTGGCAAACAGCACTACTGCAGCATTATAGCCTTTACTGCAGGCTCTGAGCAGAGTCATAATTCTTACACCTTAGAGATCCTCCCACAACTTTGTTGCATCAAGGAGGTTTAACTTTCTTGGTTGCATAGATGGATTTGGCGGCAAACTTTCTAAACTCCAATGATTATGAAAATGAAGTCACAATTCACTTACACTGACAGATATTTTGTGTGTGAATTGTCTCCTGAGTTTTCTGGCATTATCGTACTTTAATCTAGCTCTAAAAATTATATTATGTCCAGAAAACCCATCTAAAAAGACTGGTTTAGTCTCCAACATTTGGAATCAGTTAATCCTTATTTACAGGTAGTCAAGTGCCATTGGACAAGCCTGTGTAGCAAGTGTATAAAGAGTAACCAGGTTTTTCTATGATTTTTACCGAGATTCAGAAGATCAAATTTGCTGCATATTATAATCAATAACTTAAGATTATTGTGTTGAGAAGTTTCTAAGCATAAAAAGTGCAGAAGAATACAATGTACATCAGGCTAGCCAGCCTTCCTGAATTTGGCATCAAGTGTAACCGCCCCCCCCCCATACAGACCCATTAACCTGCCTACTGTAGGGTGGTGACCTCTAGTTGACCTTCACTCTATCTCTACTCCATCAGTACCTAACACTGCTTAATTGCTGCTACATATACAAAAACAGGGCAGACATCTATTACACACACTTATGCAACAAAGGAGGTACTCTTGTCCACCAACTTTCCTTTCTCCCAGACATATTGTTCCCCGCCTTTACAATGAAGTGTTCCTAAACACCCTCTGAACAAATTACCTAAAGCAGGTGCAGCCCTTTTATTCGTCTGACCGGTACAAAATGAAGAGCGGAAGAAAGGCTCATTCGTACAAAAATGCAGCCACTTAAAGACGAGAATGTTATCTGAAGGTTCGAAGCAATTATGTCCTTCTAAATGACTCCGGAAAGAGGAGGTCCACGATATAAAGGTTGTTCATAACTTTTTAGTCTGACAATCGCCATGGCAAATGTCAGGCTAATGATGATGGATGCCATGTTTTTTTTTACTCAGCACTTGGTCACCTTTTGTTTCACCAACAGGCCACTTTTTCCCACTCACCATCAATCTTGAGTTCTTGACCCTGGGTTGCCCGTGTACACACACAGATCGCAGACGCTGGCGAAAAGTTTACCGTAGCGCGCTCGGAATGTGATACGATCAATACTGTGGTGACGCGGCGTCGAGATCGGAACTCGTTCCCTGATAACGTTTGGTATCGGTGGACGTATTTGTCAGGTCATATCTCTAGCTCCTTGCACAAACAGATGTGACCACAATAATAGAAGCGTGATGCAGGCAAACTTCTTTATGAAAAGGCAAGCACGCAGTAGCCTACTCTTCTTGTCATACGATGACAAGCCATCTGAAGCGCTGAGAATTTTGTGCCTCTTGCTACACATTAACCTGACGTTCTGCCATTGCAAACACACATGCTGCAAAATACGACCCCATAGCGGGGCAAACACTGTTACTACACAACCTTCAAGTACAGTCCAGTCAGCAACAGACTACTGAGATAATATCAACAAGGCAATATTTGCAAAACCTCCAGCCAAGCTTCAGTGCATGTAGGTCAGCTGAGTGAAGATATGCTTTATTGCATTAAATGATTTAAAACAGCCGTAAATGAACCGTTGGCAGTAGATAATTCTGTTTGTTAGGAAAGCAAAATGATCCTGTTTCTATAGTTTTTGTCTCCTTCGCGTCTCTTGCCAGGTGTTGAAAAGTCGTTATTTCTAGCCTCAATCTGCAGACATCCTGAAGGATACACTAAACCTAGCCTGGATGCCAGACCCATAGCATACTACTTTTACTAGGTCCAAAGCTATCCAGTGAATGGGTCTAGAATCCAGGCTAGTAACACCAAATTTAAAGCAAACCTTGTTTGAAACAGCCTGGTTCTAAAAGAAGTTGTGATTGGATAGATGAATACATGTGTACAAAGATTGGCCAATGGTTTCAAAGGTCTCTCTAAAATGGAGACTACAACATTTCACATGTGAACCGGAATGTTGGTTTCAAATTACTTAGCAACTGCATGCACCTTGCTCTTACTACCAGCCTTCTCGTAATCCCTCGTCTGCGTTAAATATCAGCTAACCCGACACTAAGAAGATTGTGACCAGGCTTACATGTATACGAAAAAGCTAAGAGGGCATGCTGCACATATCCCATGTTTTATAGGTTTCTCCAGATCCCATGCAGGCCTGTCATTAAAAGGGGTTCTCTTTGGAACCCAGTTCAACTTCAAAGGACTTTGTTTATGTGTCATTCCCAAAGTCCTTCTAACAAGTGGGTCAAAACTTATGGGGATTAAAGAGTCAAATTCAGTCACAGAGACTAACCTTACACAGTATAGCCAACATACTGACCACTGGAACAACTTTTGAAGGGTTTAATACTTTTTTGAGTTGGCATCAAGCTGAAGATTGGACTTCAGATTCAATACCGTCTTCTTTTGAGCCCCTCCCCCCCAGACAACAACAACATCAACTACATCCCAGTTATAAAATGGCAACCGTTCGTCCTTTCATCTAAGTGATAAAAGTTTATAAACCCTTATAATAACCTTACATGAAGTTGAAAACTGACAGCTAAAGGTTAGCCACAGTAGCTGTGGCTACTGGTAATGACCTCAGTTCAGAGAATGAATTCTTTAGAGCACAGTGCGTTTCCGGTAACATATGGTATTTATAAGACACTTAGCTTGTTGCTGCATAAATTCATGCCTGCAAATAATGTTCAGTCTAACAATACTGTCCAGTACGTTCAAGAGTGCTTGCCAGACTTTCTTACCTTTAATGACACGCTTGGGTTGTCAAGATCAAGGCCTGGAGAGGTGCTGCTATACAACCTGCCCTCAACAGGTAAGAGTACTTCTGCCCAGGTAAACGAGCTGTCCACCTGCAAACGGCCCACCTGACAAGCCCCTATCAATCCCCGTCATCCGCGCCCAACAATGGCGACCCCCACCGTAATCCTAACGACAAACAGCCAGTTGCCGTGAGACCCGTCTGCTGCGCAAATCTTGTCACCGACGCGTGTTTGTTCTACCTAAATGAGAAATTCATCCTCCCTTGTGCGAGTGCTGGTTTAGCGGCTACGGTGGGCCGCAAATGAATGCCGTCAACACCAAGAAAATTTACACAATTTATTAATTGGCGCTGCTTGATTTGATTGGTATTATGTCTGACTAGTCAGCCTGCAACCGTGGATGGCTAATATTTTTCTCGACAGTTGACGCCTTTCAGCGAAGTGTTTGAAAGGTCTGCTTGCGGAAAATGTATGTCAAAGTTTATAGAAACTCTTTGTAACAGAACAAAGGACTCGCTTCAGGGAGCCATCGATGGACGGATTAACTTTGCAGAGGGATTACCTGACACTAATCCGTGGTGATTAAAACAAGATTTGGGCTAACTGGGACGCAGAATGGTAGAATGATGACGTCTAGATATTCTAGTGCAACAGAGACAGAGTCTGTAACATACAATACATGAGTTGTCAGAATGATATGTTAATAGCCTCTGTAATCTGTGCATAATAGAATGTCTTATTGGAAACCATGTTGTGTCTGAAGGAAATTTCTGAGGAAAACTTTTAGGTCAAAAGCAATGAGTAAGTAAGCTTTGCAGAAAAAAGATTATAGTAACGTTAACACTCACTGGACCATTTCATTTAAGATGCACCGTGTATTATTGTATATGTATCTATTTTGTACAAGACAACAACAAAAAAAATGGTTGGAAAACCAACTATTAAGTGAGTTTGTGAAATCATAAATCCCAATTCGGGAAGGTTCTAAATGCTGCTCAATAAGCAAGTTTGAAACTGGTATTACAATTTGCTTTAAATCTTCAGGATAACAGTTTAGACCTCTCTACATAAAGCAGTCTAGCTGAAAGCTGAACTGAGAAGGGTAATACGCAGTGGGAGGGTAGTTTCTGCAGGTGACTGTGTGTTTAACCAAGGAGGTTTAAAATCTTCTTGGTTAAACGGCTCCATTTCAAAGCCTTTGGGAGTTCCCAAACATTTTGGGCGACCTTGTTATGAAAACACAGTAGGTCAAGGTGGTGATGCGGTACAATGGTGAAGAATCCGTTGACGTGTGCAGGTATGCAGTTGTCACAAAGGAGTCCTTCATTCCAGTGACGTGAGGGAGGTACTAGTACAGGTGCTAATGTTACATGTGCTTGTTATAGAACAAGGCGTTTCACATTCAAGAAATATTTCTAGGAACTGTGTATCACTATGGTATTGGCCAAGTCAGGAATTCTTAATAAGACCTATTCAACCTGTTCTCTTTTTATGAGATTGTTAAAAAGATGTGTCTAGCTCTGAAAGGAAGTTTCAATGTCAAATGCTCTGCCGTGAAAACAGTTCAAGACCCACATTTCTTGCAGCAACAGAGGGTAAAAGGTATAACATTACAATACATAACTGTAAAATACAGCAACATGTAGTAGCAAAAAAATAATAATTAGGAGGTTACTGAAAGGTTTTTGTTTAAATCATAACTGCTAGTATGTTGAGGATTCTTTTCTAGTAAAGAGTGAAAGAAAAAAGAACAGTCAATGATATGAGTTCAGGCACTCCTAGTGAGTCCTACCCTACCAAGATTTACCCCAGAACTGAACAACTGGAAAGACAAGAAATGTCCATAAATACCTTTCAATGAATGTCCAGATTCCTCAGTTCTTGTTCAGCGGATATTTGGTCATCTGGCGGCCAAGCTTCCCTCTCGAGAACACTTCGTCAGCTAGGAATCTTGTACGACACTACAGCAGAATAGCATCAGCGTTGGGTCAGAATTTCGTGGCATCTCGTGAACAAAACATGCAAATGTTTGTCTACGGACAACAGCTTGGCCTCTCACAGCGTTTGTTCAGCTCGCTCTAGATAATGGGGCTGCATGCTGGGGAGATATCGCAGTTAATTACTGAAACAAAAGCTGATAATTGTTGTTGATTCTGTGACTGACTCCTCTTTGTGTGTCATGTTTTGTCCCATTGTTACAGCAACTAGGGGTGATTTACCAACAGATGGTACATAAAATTAACCTCAAAGCAAGAAAAATGGTTGCTTTATACCTTGACAGAAAGAGAACACTCGCTAAGTATTGCATCCACTACTCTTTATATAAAGAATGATTCAATATTTGCAGAAAGGTGTACAGACAAACAGACAAAGGGGAGAGGTCATTAGGTCAAGTTGACTCAGTGAAGGTACCTGTCCATTGTACGGAGAGGGCCACAATAGTGCGGATTGTAAATTGTTCTCGAGATCAGAATCACTGTCTGACAGCACTTCTAATGAACTTCTCTGTCTATTGTTCCTGAGAAGGTATTGTATGTACAAATTCCTTCAAGAAACGGTGATACATTGTAAAGTCAACTTTCCAAGCAAAGGTTAGGCTTGTATTGAACTTATTCATGTCTGCATTTTGTCTGGCTTTCTATTTTGTAAGCTCTACTTTGCCTACCCCAAAAAGGTGCTGACAAAATAGAAAGCCTGATAAAATGACTAAAAAAGCCTAACATCTGCTTGGAAAGTTCCTAAGTACTCTTTATCTAAACACTGTAATGTTATATACATCTGTGTGTATAACTGTAGCAACTTCTTGTTCTTGATAATTAAAATATTTCAAGGCTATCATTGATGAAGGTTAGACATCCAGGTAAACGATAGATGATTCAAATTGTGAATACATGTACATGTACTTCTACAGGGATATTGATACTCTTCTTCAGTGTCACGAAAACTTTTGTAAAATTGTAGCAACTACTAGTCTAATAAAGTGGAAAATTTTGAATGGCAGTGGATTCAAGCAACATAAAATGAACAATTTTAGCCTCAGGTCTTGTATGGGGGCCCGCAAGCCCTTTTCCGTAGAGCGTAATCGGCTGTTTTAATTCTACTTAGAGCGCTGCTCTTCGCATTTTGCATAGAGCGTATTTGCCGTTTTAATTCTACATAATGCATTGTAGCCACTTGGAATTTATCGTAAAGCGTAATCGAGAGGATTCCGAATTCAGCGTAGAGCGTTGCCGGGACCCCCCCTTGCAGGCCCTCTTGTATAAGTTTTTTCGCCCGTTTGCATCCTATAACACTACAGACTCTGTGCACCAGTAAGGCGGAGACTTCCTGTGTTCCCTAAAGCTTACCCGCTTTTTCTATTCTTATCCTCTGGTAAGCTGCCTACTTTAGTACTTACACCCTGTTTGGACTGGGACTGGTTCAAGAGGTCACTGAGGCAGGTTTTCCACAGAAAATGCTGGTGGCAAATGTTCTTTTTTTGTTTTTAAGGCCACACCAATTTCATTTGTTGCTTCTTGGATCGCCCTGTCCATTTTTTCTGATTTGCATTTTTTTTAATTAACTGCAAATGCTCAATGAAAGACATATTTTGGCCCCAACAGTTGAAGAAAGTCCTTTTCTTCCTAGTTCTTCCTAGTTTTTCCATGTAACAATGCAATGTTGTTTCATTAAAAGTTCAAAATCTATTGTTTTAATTATAAACCAGCCAGGTATGTTCACTTCATGACTCATATTGTAACATTTCCGGCTATCATGGGGTGCCTTGGCCTGTTTTTTTTTATCGCCCTGTCGCTTAATATTTTTTCTGAAAAAATCAGAGAAACAACAAATTAAATTGATGTGGCCTAAAGAAGTGAGCTATCAGAAGGTGGAAAACAGACTGGAATGAAATGTTACAATGCAGACTAGGCAGACTAGTGTAGTGAAAATCTCCAAGCAGGCGTTGGGATGGAAAATTGTAAGGTGTTATATTGACTCTCCAGGCACGCAAGAAGAAAAACAAGGCAGCCAGAAGATGTTATGATCTTCCATCCCAACATTTTCGGAATATTTGATATGATGCTATCATTACATGTACTAGTATTAAAAATACCAGTAAAAAATGTAAGGATCCCAAAAAGAAATTCAGTGAACTTTTCTTGACCTGAGCAAAAAACAAAGTATAAATATTTACTAACAACAGCTTCTCCCCCCAAGATTTTCCTTGGCATGTCCCTAGGGACACTACAATCTCTGTATTTTGGATTGTACCACTCAAAAGAATGGGGTATTTTGGTTCTATCAATGCCCAAATAACAAGAAATACTTTGTTTCAAACATAGAACATATAGCATAGCATTGCAAATGTTGTTGTCAACTAAGTTAAAATAGAGTTGAAAGTTTTCAATTTTTCATTCAGTCATTGTGCCGTCCTCAATTTTTGAATGGTCCCATCCTAAAGCTAGGAAAGATCCCAGGAAGAAAGGTGTCTGATAATTTGAAACCGCATTCTACTAAAGGAATGTCACACTGCAACTTTCAAAAGTCAAGGTAGGTGGCCAGTAAATACCTTTTTGAAGAAATCCACTCGTAAAAATGGTCTAATAAAGGTCTATCTGCTTTCAGATTTTATAGTCTTTTCTTTGAACTAATCGAATGAAATCGTCTAGCAGGGCACTGAAGTTTCACAAGTCAGGAACTCATAAAAGTATTTATCACCTCGCACTAAAATGGCTTGACAGTTGACGTTAGCGGTCCTCTGATAAAACTTGTGTGAAAAGTTACAGGCCCTCTTTGCTCATTTATTTTCGGACACATAAAAGACAGACTTGAATCCTATGAAGCTACTACTCTCCAAGCAGAGGTTTGGGTTTTGGGTTATTTTTTGCATGTTTTCAGGCATTTTTATCAGGGTTCCTTTTTTTATCGGGGTTTCTTTTTTGCACTGGATTTTTTTCACCCAACCCAACACATAACAGACTAAAAACACGCCAAAAATAACCCAAAGCACAAACCTCTGCTTGGAGAGTATGAAGTTACTACAACTTTCTACGTCCACAATTCACAATTGTTGCACAAACTCTTTTGATTTTTACACTCTTACCAAGGAGGTTGTACATGTATCTCCAATTCTACCTCTATGCTCTTACAATTTGTAGATAATGTCTAATGTCCAAGATGATTCATAATTTTGGTGACAGGGGACGACCAGTTTGGCCACCCGAGTTACCATTTAGGTGGCGTATTTGATACTGTAGAATTTGAAGCCACCAAGATATGATCTACTTGTAGATTAGACAATTTCAAGCTTCAACGTTTAATTAGACAAAACGTTTTCTCTTTCCACGAGTTACAAGAAGAATCTTTACGACGGAGGACCGCACACATGGCGTCCATCAGGTTTTACGACTGTGTGACCCGGGAAGCGGATCTCCCTAAAGATCCCAGACGAGAAAATTGGGCACAAAAAACACACGCCGCCTTGAAGTGGAAATTAGCAGAGACAGGTACAATGGTGGCATTTTGTGGACAGCAGGCGCCAGGGTGGGGATGATTGACATGCAAACTGTCGCCTGTTTACTAACAGATTGTCGGCAAAGAAGATGTAAACAACTGATCAAAACTACACCGGACAACAACGACGCAAAAATCTGCTATAGACCACCCTCCAAATGCGTTTCCTCTGCATTTTAGTGATGCGAAATACGCCCATAAACACCAGTATCTTTACCGATTTTCGTGTTTGTGAAGAATTTCCTGTTGTAGTTCCTGAAACCATAAACATCATGGTTTTTTTTTTGTGTGACCCTCTCGTGTAGGTTGTTCATTGTGTTACATACTTTGCATACTTCTTAGCCAAGTTACTACTCGTGTCATCCAATCCTAACTACGTTTTACCTTCTCCCATCGAACTAATCTTTGAAAGCTGTCTTAACTCTTGTTGTATTCATGATGCCAATAGTTTGCAATCTTTTCATACAACGCAAAACTGCGAACACTCATGTTGAAGTGGGGAGGGGCAGGGCGCCACGCGGTCTCAGTCACCCATCAAATCTATGAAACAAAGGAGTAAAACATCTAACTTACTTCTATATCAAAGGAATTATACTTCGTATAACAGTACTGCTGAACTGACTGACATCGTCAAATCGTCGGTCTTACCTGGTACAAGCTGTGAAGACTGGTCTCCTGTGATCTGCCGATCCAAGCGAGGTCTCTGCATGCATGTGTGCGGTCAGCTGTTTGAACTGACGCGGCACGCGCCAGGACAGCGTGCTACCGGGGTCAACGACCGCAGGAACGAAACCGTGAGTGATTCATAATCTTCAAGCAGATCCTAGGGTGGCAAAACCCTACCTTTATAGCACAGTGCCTAGGGTGGCAAAAAACAGTATCAAAATTGAATTGCGTGGCGTATTGGACCCTCTCTGACCAATGGATACTGCCTTAGGATCTGCTTGAAGAAAGTATGAAACGATAGATAGGTACGGCATGCTGCAGGTTGCAACGTTGCTTAATTTCGCTAGAGGTCGCCCTTGTATGGAGGCCGTAGCACGGTTGGCAACATGCTTGGGTCTGCTGCCTTCTTTCGCAAGTTTTGCTCTTAATAAGCAACATACAGAGGTAAAAGAGCAAAATAAGGGCGGTATATACATAAGGGCTATATTATCATACAAAACTCGGGGCGCTGATCTGTTAATATAAACAGCTATGCGATTTGAAAGTTTGTCCGTCTGTGTGTGTGTTTTCTCTCTCACAGAAGTCGGAAACTGGGCTCATTACGCATTGATCATTTGATTTGAAGACACACGCTTACACTTGGACGATGGTCCTGTAAAAATGCCATGGAATCGGGGTGGGTGGGTGGGGGGAGCCCCGTGTTTTCCTCACTTTCATTGAGTCCAAAAAATCAACAAAGGCTGACAACTGAGTTGCTGGTGGAATGTTCGACATCTAGCGCTAGGAAGGCTAGATGAGGACTAGTGTCCACCAGACTCCTTTGCATGCTGAATAGATAGTAAAAATCGGCTAAGGGGGGCATCATTGGCCAGAGGAGGCAAGCTGGACCCTGCTTTGGCCGGCCAACTCCTCTGTCCAATGTTGTCCCCCTTAGCCGATTTCTACTACATGTATTTATTAAGCCTGCAAAGGAGTCTGGTGGAGACTACGTTTTACTAGCCCCAGTTCTACTAGCCTGGATGCCAGACCCCGTGTCCAACTGATGGGTCTGGCATTCTGAGAGGAGCTAGCATGTACTAGTACATGTATACTGTTCCTGTCAACAGTCTGACACCCAGGCTACAGTTTTTCAAAGTAATAGGTCATTTTTCCTTCCAGATTTACTGCTGTCCCATTGTGAAAGATATGGCTTGTAAGTCACTGATTCTTTATTGGCCACTTTATTTCTTCACAGTACCTTGACGGACAAAGTAATACGTTACCTTTGTTAATAAACCTGTATCCCAACAAGGAATATTAATCAACTTTCCACTTACAATCTCTGGCATGTACATTATCAAATGCACAGTGTCAAAAAAGTTGCAAAAATGGAATATAACGTTAACTAACATGTATAATAACACATTCCTGTTATTATTCAATTTCCTAAATTCTGTAGTTGAAAATGTGGAGTAAAATGTATGCTCTATATTTTTTAAAATGATAAATTATGCATGTGTAAGTGTGTTGGAATGCAATCTGTATATGTTCATGATTCTGTGATCCTAAAAAAATTACAGGTAAAATTGCATTTTTGGCGGCACCTCTGGGGTGGATGCATTTTTAAACACAGTCTATGGAAAATGCTAGGCATCATCATTTGCAATTTGGGTAAATATGTTTGACCTTTATTACAAGTAAAATCAATGTGACCTTATGTAATTCTGGGCCAATGTTTGTTATTATATCCATTATTTCCCTACAAAAGAAATAAATGGTAGAGTCTGCGATGATAAATGTATATGTGATTATGATGATAACAAACATTAATGTCCAGAAATCCTGTATTGTTGTAAAAGTTGTCATTTGTATGTGTGAACAAGATAGTGCTATTTACAATTATCAGTATATAGTACGACAGTATTATATGTAGAGTAGTTGCGACGGTACAACACTGTATTTTTACTCCTCCATGATTATAATTTCATATATCCTTCTCTCTTGTAGTTTATACGTATGTACAAATTCTCTCAGACCTTATATCAATTTTAGATCTCAGTCGATCTCAAAATACATGTTCTTCTCTTTTTACTTTAGTAGCTTCATTGACTATTTCAACAATGATCACAATCCTTCTAACATGTAGAATTGAATATATATACTGCTTATATATAATGATGCATAACACATTCAATATGAACATGTTCTATAGATCGCAACACAAAACTTACATGGGTTAGTTTTTCCTGTACATAGATTGGAATGTCGTGAAGTAAACCTTATTCCTCTGACCATTTCAATGTCAGATATGTCAATATCTACACAATCTGTACAAACATTTAGAGTTTAGAAAGGTTTTAAGAAACTAAAGCTAACAATAGACATGTTTATATACATAGATGGTGGCAAGCTATAGAATACTTTCCTTCTTTCTTTGGCACATTGGCTATCAGACACATTTTATTTACAGGGCTCATATCCGTTCTTTACAATTTGTCCACCATTTTTTCAGGATGTTGGTTGTAGATACTGATGTCAATGACACGAATACTAGTATAGACAACTGGACTAGGTGTACCTCATACTACATGTAGTGTACACATAGTGGCACATATAGGTATACTAGAGGGTCTACATGGGGTTTCCTGGAAATGCTATAGGAGGTCCAGTTTACTGTTGTAATGCTTTGGGTAAATTGATTTGTTCTTGCGAGAGGTTTGGGGCACATTAGTTCATACGAGTGATCACTGTTTTTGTTTACATGATACACATGCAAATTATTTGGAGACATATGCAAATTATTGGTAGGCAAACCAACCAACCGTCACCTGCTTTTTGCCTACCATGACGTCATGGTGATCATTTGCATTAGCTTTGCATTTATGGGGTGTGTGGAAAAAGGCATGCAGACCCTCTTCAAATACTCATGGCACATACAGGTATACTAACCGTCTAAGAAATGGAGATGGTACTAGTATTATAAAGTTAATTCCTTGTCAATTATTTGTGAATTTTACAACAATTTTTCATAAATTTTTTCCATCTCCTTCAGTAAATCATCTGGTGCTCTGGCGCTTTGTCCTTTCTGTCCTTCCTTGGTTTGTTTGTTTGTTTGTTGTTGTGTTTTTTTTTGGGGGGGGAGCAGGGCATTTACTCTTCTTCGATTACAGATGGTCTTTTTAAGTCCGTACCTTTACACACAGAAGCTGCTTTCGTGTTCTCGTTCTTGTCGACGGTTGATGCTGACGCTGAGAAAACCGCGAGAACCATCTGTTTAGATGGGGTGCTGTTGTGAGCACACTGTTGTTGGTTGCGCCATCTATCAACTCTGCGCTGTATTGCATTCTGAACCTGAAAGGTGGGGATGAAAGGAAAGAAATGTTTCGTATCTAAAACTCTGAAGCACAAGCAAACACAGAGACACATCACAAAACCGCTGGACACAGAGATATTAAGACATGCATAACAGAATGTGTCTCTAGGAGTGTGTGTTTTAACATCTTCTTATCAATGCAAAAAAATTGTAGATACATGTATTATTTTGTAAACTGTTCTTACCTCTGTGTTAGAGAAGCAGTAGATGACAGACACAAAGCATCCCTGAAAAATATACAATTCAAAATTTCAAATCACCATTTTAAGCCTCAGTCATAACTATGTATCTAGTATAAGTTACTACATACCAACAAAAAATTTAACCTTTAGCATGCTGAAGTAGCCGTTTGGCTTTACCAAGTCTCTATTGATTGCAGAGTTCTAAGGCAGCAAGGAGGTTAAACTTGAAGTTTAGCGACCTTTGAGATGTAGGTTAACCTTCTCCCTGCTGCCTTACCCCGATGTAAATGTGGTACCAAGTTGACTCCCTTAGCACAATGAAGGTTAACTTAAACACACCTGGAAGGACTGCAGGAATGAGTTGAAGTATCTGAAGAAGATTTTGGACGTCCCTCTCCCGCTGGGGTGGATGAAGAACAGCATGTATGTGATGCCCAGAAGAGGCAACAACACCACCGTCGCTTTCACTGCCTTGATGCTGGGGAGAAATAGGCAGATCTTTCATTAGAAACATGACATTTTTGGCAACACCACAGGGGTGGAGTCATTTTTAACATCTTTTAAAGAGGGCCTGCATGGGGGGGGGGGTAGTGATTATGAATTACGCAAAATTTTCACAGCTGATTACAAATTACGTTAAATTCTCAGAGCTGATTACGAAAAATTATGCGCTACGGCTTATGAACCGATCATGAATTACGATGATTTTGGGAGGCTGCCTACGGATTACGAAGACTAAAAGGGCCTGATTATGTCTTATGAAAAATACCATGCAGACCGTCTTTAAACTTAAAGATATACCATTTGGTGTGTCAGAGTTTTGCAGTTGTTCTCTTGCTCTATCTAAGAGCAAGCATCCAAAGCTTTCAAAATCACTGCAGTTCTTCCATGTGACATTAGTTCTTGCATGTGTCATTCTTATTAATGTCTGTGTATATGTACAACATATAATTAATTGTATATACAGTATGTTATGTTTGTTTGCAATCTATGTTCACCTTGGTACTGTTATTTCTGTTTTGAAAATGTCCTCTTTTGGCATTATTCTTTAGACATATTTGTAAGAGCTCCAATTCAAAATTTAGACCTCAAAATGTAAGAACTCCAATTCAACCTTCTTGTCAGTATGTGGTTACATCATTTCCCCCCTCATTTCAGTCATTATGCTTGAAATAAATTTCTTTCCTTTCAGTTCAAATCATGGTCTGGTTTGTGTTAAAACTAGACTACTTTAAACAAAATCAAATGGTCAAAAGTTACGGCCAATTCTCATAGATAGAGAATGAATCTGTTTCTCATCCAAGCTTGCTTCAATGAAGTTGTTAGTTGCAACATAGAAATATGTTGCAAAGATTATGACGGTATAATATCATGTAATGTTTATATATTAATAGGGATGTTAGTAGTTAAGGTCTGCTAGCTGACTGGTTCCTACCTGAAGTGTACTTTATAAGAGGCCCTGGATGCTCGACGTGTGGTACCAATGTCATCTGCGGTGCAGCTACTACAAGTGTACATGTTGTGTTCTGTTAGAGTTGCTGTGTGTTGTTTATTCGCTTAACATTTATTGTTTGACTGTTGCTCATCAGAAGAGGGATTTAGGCAAAATACAACAATCACTCAACATACATTCAAATAACATAAAAACATATTAGGCCACAGCAAGTAAATTTTATTGATGACATCCTTCGTAGACTCCAAATCCAATGCAAGCAGGCGGAAAAAAAAACAAGGCAGGCCGAAAAAACAAGGTTCATACATTTTAAAATTTGTACTCGATCATTGTACAAGTGGTTTAGAGCCTTTTCTTGTCTCCTCTCTTTATAGTTATCTGCCATCCACCTTCCGGCAGGGCAACAGATATCTTTGCACATTTTCGGCATGTTGTCACCACTGTCAGAAGGCAACAAAATTTCTGGCTTTTTTTCCAAAATCAGGCGAAAATTAATGCGCGCGCTGATGTCATCCATAAAAATTACTTGCTGTGGCCTTATGGAAACACACAATGTAATGCCTATAGCAGGAAATTGAAGACAGGATATAAGATAACCTTCGAAGGGCCCTTTGACCTTTAAGTTAGCTTTCTGTCAGTATCCCTGACATGCCAAGCATGTGGAAAAAACAATGGAAACACAAGCAAACCCACACAAACCCCTGTATAATGAGGTAATAAATGAACACTCTTTCTAGATCTGGTGTATTACTAAAGCTGCGGTCACAACCTGCCGTACATGCTTTTTGTCCGTACGTTTTTTGGGAGGCTACGTCTGCTACGTTTTTTTCTGAAAACGTGGGGAAGGAGTGGTGTCGACGCACGTCACTCGCATGGTTGCGCAAGGTGTAAGCGTTGGGTCTGCACGCCACGCCTGGCCGTGAGCGGTTGCGTGCACCGTACGTTGCGCAAGTGATAAGTGAGTTGTACGTGCTTACAACGTGCGATTGCAACTTAACCGTATTAAGGAGGCCGTACTTCTTCCGTACGGCACGTACAGGCATGCGCGTCGCACGTACTCGCACGTACGGGTGGTGAATCCGCAGACCGCACGTAGAAAAAGTTTTACATGCACTTAAAGTTCTACGGCGTGTCTGCGTGCTCCAAAATCCGTAGGATTCCGTACGGAGGTGGTACTCACCGCGCACGAATGCCCTACGTTTGCCCACGTTTTTGCACGTAGACAGCACGCAGAAGCACGTATGGCGGGTTGTGACCGAAGCTTGAGTTATAGGAAAAGAACCAAAGATGATTTGAAGCCAGGGCCTACCTGTAGTGTGTTGTATCCAGTGAGTTTGGGTGGGCTCTGAGCTTCAGCACCAGTATTCTCACAATCTTTCCCAGGATCACAAAGTTCACCTGGAAATAAAGAGTTGAAGTGTGTTCGCTTACTGTGACAATTTTCGCACCTGTTCCTCAAATACTGTAAAGCCATAGACTGAATCTATATTTGAGGGCCTGCATGGGGGTTACGTAGTGATATTATAAATTACACAAAATTATCGCTGCTGATTACGAATTACGTTAAATTCTTCGAGCTAATTACGGACAATTACACATTATGGCTAATATACTTATTACAAATTACGATCTTTTTGAACAGCTGCCAACAGAGGGCATGCAGGCCCCATATTTTTCTGTGATGAAGCTGTAATATTATTACTTCTCGGAATAGATTTATTTTATCTTGTCCAGACATGAGATGAAGGTTAGAAATGTAAAAGACTGCATAATTACCAGTAACACGATGATGACCGGTCCGTGGTAAATGAAGTCATAGTGAGAGTTCTGTCCAGTTGTTGAATCAACCCAGCATCTACATAAAATGACAAAAAAGTTTTGCAAATAATCAGCCATGAACAATATTCTATATTCGCTATCAGAGACGGGTATCCTCTGACTACAGAAATGTATTTTCCATATTCATTATCACATTGTAGGCCATCCGGATTTTTGCTCCGCAGCGCTTCTTCAAAATTCCTATCAAATAAGGCATAAGCTTAAATGACGGCACCGTGGTCAATGTGTATAAATGACAGGAGGAGGTTGTGATTTTTTCGAGCGATGCGGAGCGAAAATCTGGATGGTACCCAGGTTATTACAAGGCAACTAGGAAGGGATATACATCATGTTAAAAAAAGATTCTGGTTCTGAATTAACTAAAAAATGCTTTTTCCCCCAACAGTTAAGGAAAGTCATTTTCTTCCTATTTGTTACAGTTTCTCCATCTATCAATGCAGTAGTTTGACTAAAAGTTCAAAATTCATTGTTTAAATTTTAACCCAGCCTTTTGTGTTGACTTCATGGCTCCTACGGTATTGTAGCATTTGGGGCTATATTAGGATGCCTAGACTTGTTTTTATTCTATTTTTTCTTTGCCCTGTTGCTTCATATTTTTTCTGACCAAATCCGAGAACCAACAAATCAAATTGGTTTGGCCTAATACATGATTTGAATACATAAACATGTAACGTTATGTAATTGAATTTATCCTACCTTTCATCCTGCAAAAGCGACATCACTATCACCCAGGACAGAATGATTGGGATAGGCAAACCTGCAACAGAAATCATCATCATCAACAACTGTTTAAGGGTTAATACTAACCTGCTCTGAGGTGTATGTGGTGACATAATGCCTGAGTGGTTATTTCCTATAAACCACTGATTGAACTGCCGAGTGAGTGCAGTGAACGAGGCAGTTTAAAAGGTGGTCAATCAATCAATCAGTCAGTCAGTCAGTCAGTCAGTCAGTCAGTCAGCCAGTCAAACAATTGGTCAATCAATTAATCAATCAATAAGTCAAACTATCAATAAGTCAGAACATGAAACAGATGGAAGCAAATCTGAAACCTAAATGGACTTAAAGTATTTTGCATACTGCACTTTTCTATTCAATACTGGTAACTTTGTAAGCTTTGGGAATAAAGTAGAATAAAATACTATTAGATTTGTTCTAGTTCTGGATCTAAAATTAAGCCTAGCATTGATTCCATGTAAGAAAACATCTGTGTATGACTTGTGCACCTGGTGGGGCGCACCTGTTCTGTGGTTTAAACAAGATTTTTCACCAGGGAAAATCAAATCTTCCTTGATACAGTACCTGATCCTTGGACATATTGTGTACATTAGGCCTAATTCCCCTACCCATTTATGTGCTGAGTACACATTTTAGGCCTAGGGAAAAAATGTTGTGTTTCCTGTTTCAGTCCTGAAAAAATTAGGGTCGATAGGTAGGGATTATCTTTTTTTTCTCACTTTTTTTATTAGACTTTGGCGATCTCTAGTGACCCAACTTATACAATGCAAGTACAAAATAAAACTTTGAGGACACTTACGCAATATGTAAATACTATATTTTCAATGTCAATGTTGGAAAACTGATTGTACAATGTTTCATCACTCAGGTATCAGATCATGGTAGATCAGCTCGAAAAATTTTATGTCCCTTGCAGGGGTCCACCCCAAAAAAGGTTTGGGGGTCTGCAGTTTTTTTTTAGGGTCGGTCAGGAAACACAACATTTCCTTTCCTGGGCCTTGGATAAACTCGTTGGTAATGCATTTTGCAACTTACTGCTATTTATAGACGGTGTATGTTAAAAGATTTGTGTAGAGTTAAGGGGGTTCAATACACCTCCTTGGCTAGGCTGAGCTGTTTTTTTTTATCATACTCCCCTAATATTTCGCAGATGCAATGTCATGACTACACAAAACTGTCTGATCTCAAAAGATCTATCCTTATGTAGTACCGGGATTTATATATCTGACAGTTGTGTCTACTAGAACGATACTTCAAACAGGCCTTTACTCTTAAACAAATGGTGGAGTTTGTAAGGGATAAGAGGACCTGGTCTATAAATGTACAGGGAGACATTAATTGATGCATTTGCAGTTGGGTGGAATGCTATTATCCGCAACATCAGTAAGCCAGTCGGTACCGGATGGATCAGTGTTTTATAGCGGAAAAGCCAGTCACTAACATTTCCTTGGGACTTTAATCGTGTGATGGAATCCTTTAAAAGATGTCGGACTTTGTTTCATCTAATCTACTGCACCGTAAAAATGCCTGAACAAAAAAGTTCACAACCCAAACTTTTTGCTTGCTACTGTGATTGTGTCATGAAGTCATGTCCAATGTCAAATTCTACAAGCAAAAATGAAAATGTATTTAATGAAGTTAATTTGATTTCTAAAAGTCAAATTGAAACCTGCCAAAGCATAATATAACCAAGCCCCCAAATCCTTTTTTTTCTTAATTTGATTTAGCCAATCACAGCACACATCCAGTGCTGTAGACATAATTTGATTACTCACACCAGCCAATCACAGCGTACATCCAGTACTGTAGACTTATGATTACTCACACCAGCCAATCACAGCGTACATCCAGTACTGTAGACTTATGATTACTCACACCAGCCAATCACAGCGTACATCCAGTACTGTAGACTATAATTTGATTACTCACACCAGCCAATCACAGCGTACATCCAGTACTGTAGACTATAATTTGATTACTCACACCAGCCAATCACAGCGTACATCCAGTACTGTAGACTATAATTTGATTACTCACACCAGCCAATCACAGCGTACATCCAGCACTTGATCCTCTCGGTCCCAAAGGCATGTGCCACCATGATGTGCAGGTACAGCCCCTCCACAAACATCCAGAAGAAGTTGGTGACTTGAAAGTAGTTGAACAAGGTGACTGCCACTCGACAGTACCACTGGAGCAAGAGATAATACCATCTTCTGAAAAACTTTCCAAAAACTAACAATTGATCTTGTAAATTACTAGCATGTACCTTATTCCAAAAAATAAGTTATGCCTTTGAATATCAGGCTGGCTATAACTCATGTAACTTGATCTAATTGATATATGATATAACATTTTACCTCTATGGCATATTTTCATCTCATTGTTAGAGATTATTAAGGTGATGCACAATGTTAGCTAACTACTGGTATAACGCATAATTAATACAGTGCAATATGTATGATGCACTGTTTGTCATTGTAATAGATTATGATCTATGTGTTTACATATACTGTAATTAATGTATTAAAAGAGGGCTTCAGAAACATAATTAGAGTTCAACTAATGATTTTTGATAAACAAACAGACAAAAGCTGCACTAATGATGGAGCAGTAATCTGCAAAGACGAAGTTAAAATTCTCTTCATTTTGTATCCCTCCTCTTTCCTCAGTGTCACTTGTATCCAAATATTTAATGCCAGAAGGCCACACCAATTTTATTTGTTGTTTCTCGGATTTGCCTGTCCATTTTTTTCTGACTTGCAAAAAAAAATTCTGAATCAACTTCAACATGCTAAATGAAAGACATATTTTGGCCCCAACAGTTGAAGAAAGTCCTTTTCTTCCTATAGATAGTTGTTAAAGTTTATCAATGTAACAATGCAACTTCGTTTTATTAAAAGTTCAACATGTATTGTTTTAATCATAAACCAGCCTGGTATGTTGACTTCATGGCTCATATCGTAACATTTCCGGCTATCATGGGGTGCCTTGGCCTGTTTTTTTTTTTTGCCCTGTGGCTTCATATTTTTTCTGAAATAATCCGAGAAACAACAAATCAAATTGGTGTCGCCTAAGAAGGCAAAAACTGTAGCTCTTAAACAACAGCTGATCACCTTTTGATGTATGTTATCATATTTCCTCATCTGTAGCCACAGTAGATCATCATCTATATCCATCAGTCAAAACCAGTCGACCGAACAAAACCTTGATCTTGCTCGGTGAACTTTACGGTTCGCACATTGATCACATTACTGACTTATCAGTAAGAGACTGAGATTTATCCACAGAAGTGTTATAGGTGAGGGTCTGAAGGCCTAATATTCCATGAGGTGTAGTGAGCCATTTTACTTCACTGTTTATCGTAGTCAGTGGCTTGAATTCACCATTAATCATTGTTGGGAAATACTTGGTGAAGTGTAATTGGTCACTTTAATTCTTCATGGCATGTTACATTTCGACTTCGCATCATGTAGTCAAATGCCAGATTACCCAGAAATCTGATAGAAGATTTTTGAGCTGCATGCTAAATCCACAGACTAGTTTAGTATAGACATCCCATGAATACAAAAGAGCATTCGGATGAAGTTATTCCCAAAGCCTTGCACAAATAACAAATTAATTTCAAGTTGAGCATTGCAGAAGGGACCAAATTTACAGTCAAGCATGGACAGCCCTCCTAAATTGTTTGTTTCGCATAACCAGTAAACTGCCTTTAGGCGTAACACACCAGTTTTGTACATGTATTAGTACAAGCTGCGTAAGACCGGACTGTAAGGTTTGAACCACTCACACCGGGAAGGTCCCCTACTCTTTTCGATAAATGCGGTGGGTTCTTCAATGTGCGTGGGGTGTGACTCTCCCCAAACACGGGACTTCCATTTAATGTCCTGTCCGAGGTATGTCCCTAATCAAAGCTAGTTACTCGTGTAAAGTGCCTTTCCCAAGGGCACAAGATCAGTGACGTGGGTAGGATTTGAACCTGGGACCTCTTGGTCCTGAGCCAAACACGCTGTAACCGCTACGCCACATGACCCCACACAAATTTGCTTTTAAGCATTGACACGATCCCTACCCCATACAGACCCTCGTAAGTACAAAATAGGAGCACAACTCACGCTATTGTCAAGCACGGTCTGGACATTCATAACTTCTTGCATAATGAACCAGCAGATGTTTCTGAGGATGAAAGTTGCCACCAGGTTACAGTGGATGTTGTTCCTCGTACACCGGATGCTTCTGTAAAGACAATCCAAGAATGAAATGTTTAGTAATACTGTTTAGTATTTGAACAGCACTCAAAAAATAGTAATTAGATACAATATTGAAAGCAAGAAACATACATGCCAGAAATCTATTGTTTTTCTCTTGGGCCTTCCCTCATTCCATATTGTTTAAAATACAATCACTAATAAGTCTTATTGTCAAAATCATTGAAAAGGTCTTTTTCTTTTTTTTCTAAGAACAATCGCACAGCAGAATTTGTTGTTACCAAGCTTTGTCACTACATATTATATTCAAGCATTGATAAATGTCTAGAGTTACATGTAAGGAAAGCTAGTGTTGGTCATAAAGGCAGACAGTGGCTGTCCTTGGTACTGAAATTATTTGGGAATGCTTAGAATTTGAATCTACAAGAATTTGTTGCTATCTACTGATATTCTGTAACTCCCTTTCTGTAAATTTCTGTTCCAAATTGATTTGTTTCTTATTCATAGATGTAAGGAAAGCTTTTGGTTTGATCATAAAGGCAGACTGTGGCTGTCTTTGGTACTGAAAACTACTTGGGAATGCTTAGAATTCGAATCTTAATTCTACATGAGCTTGTTGCTATCAACCAGTACTTTGTATTCTCTTTCTGTAAAGTTCTGTTCAAAATTGATTTCTTCTTTCTTTAATTTTCTTCAAATTAGATGCTTTATTTGCGTCAGTCTCTGTCTTTTGATAACATTTGATCTGACCCACATAAATGCAACCATACATTCTCACCACATAATAATCTGCCACAGTGATAGCGACTCATTTGGGAAAAACAAACTGCCCCTCTGTGTGTTCCATAATGAAATGGACGATCCAATTTTCTCTGGTCTTTTATGGTTTCGTGGCATAAGTTATGCCACCCTATTCCATTTTTGTCAAGAACCCTTTCATGTATTCCTCTGTTGCTGAAGTGTGGAGATTAGACTATTTGTCACCTTCGTCATTTGGCCTGTGAAAGAGAATGATATGCATGATCCCTCGGGCCGAAAGGGTAGCACTATTGCTCTTTAAATGAACCCTGCACTGTAGCAAAGTATGTGGTGTAACCCACAGCATAGGGGTCAGGTACAGAAGGGCAACTTTCACGGTGCAAGTCGTGCATTGAGTCACCAAAACATGACCACAGCAGGGGGAAAATTTTGCATTATTTGTAATCATTAGCACCCCCCTCCCCATGCAGGTTCTCATCTTAAAGTGTACACTATCCATGGTAAACTAAACTGTTATGTAGAGAATGTAGAGAATATAGAGACTCAAATCTGCAGGCTTACTTAAGATATGCGAACAGCGTGAACGCTATGACGAGACAGAAGAGGGACACAGCGTGGCCGATGTTGTTCAGGAGTTTGGCGTTCTCCAGATGTCTGCGCCAATGTCTCTGGAAAGTGCAGCAGAACACAAAAAACATATCAGATGATTGGTACAAGTCTTTTGATGGCGTCTTTCGCACAACGGTTAGAGCAAATTTGAACTCAGAACCAATAGGTCCTGGGTTCGATAGTCACCATGCCCTGACGTTGTGCCCTTGGGTAAGGCACTTTACACTACCTTGCTCCCTAACCCTAACTCTAACCCTAACCCTAACCCCAACTCTAACCCTAACCCTAACCCTAACCCTAACCATAACTCTAACCCTAACCCTAACCCTAACTCTAACCCTAACTCTAACCCTAACCCTAACCCTAACTCTAACCCTAACCCTAACCCTAACCCTAACTCTAACCCTAACCCTAACCCTAACTGTAACCCTAACTCTAACCCTAACCCTAACCCTAACTCTAACCCTAACCCTAACCCTAACTCTAACCCTAACTGGCCCACCAAACCTCTCTATCATAAATAGGCCAATCTTTCTAAATGTTTGCCCAAAACACACTTTGCAATGTTCCAACATCTGCACATTTGCCACTAAAAGCTGTAATTTTTTAAAGACTTTTTTTTGGTAACAGATGGCAGGAATGTCATATTTAAAAAACAGGATCATTGTATCTCACAACTTATTGTGGTCATGATCTTACGTAGTTGGCACAAAATCTGGAACTTCTTAGCTGAGGCCTAGAAAAAAATGTTGTTTTTCCTGTTTCAGTCCTTAAAAAATTTACATTGATAGGTAGGGATCTTGTTTTTTTTTAAAAGACTAAAGAATCTCTAGTGATTCAACTTATTAACAATACAGTTTAACAGAGTAAAACTTGCATTAATTTATATTTTCAATGTCATTGTTGGAAAATCGATTGTACAACATTTCATCACTCAGGTGCCAGATCATGGAGCTAGAAAAGGTCAATCAGGATATCCCTTGCAGGCGTCCACCCAGAGAAAAGGCTTAGGTTTGGAAGGGCAGGTTGGGAAAGAGGAAACACAACATTTGTTTTCTAGGTCTAAATACAATCTTTCATGTACATGTTCTCCTAAATTTGTCAACTCTGATATATTTCCATGGTATTCAGTATGAAAGAGCTAATATCATAAGATCGCTGCATGTAACTATAGTAACACACCATTTCCTCGCTCTCTGCCGTAAAACTGTCCACAAGAGGGCGACAGTTCCCGTTGTAGTCGGCCCTCACTGCCCAGGTGCCGTTTTCGTAGCACATCTTGGTGGCATTTTCTTATATGAGAAGAGATGGAAACCATTAGTTGTGTCTGTCACAATTTGTTGTCAAATATCAATCTCCAAATCAGATGTAGGTGTTGGTCCAGAGTTTTTAGGCTTTTTATAATGTCTGTCTTTTTCTTCACGTTTGCTCATGAGATCAGCCGAATGAACAAGGCAACAGATATGAATGAAGCAGGAAATTGAGAACACAAGGTCAAGGAAATGAGACAACTTTTACTGGTGCCTTTGGCCTAACTGGACGCAAAACTACGAAAACCACGCTCTAATTTCTCAGCACTCGTTTCCATTGCTGACGGCATGTTCACTACTGGTAACCGAGTGCGGAAACTGGAAACCGACTCAGTGCTGAGACAATGTTGAGCACTGGAAACTGAGTGCTGAGACACTTGAATTCCAGTGCCGAGGGAGCTTCAGCACTGGAACAAAGCCATTCAGCACTGGAAAACCTGTGCTCGACTTTGAGTCACTGGACGCCCAGTGCTGACGCCGTTTTGACCACTGATTCAGCACTGTAACACCAGTACCGAAGGCATGGCTTTCGTAGACTTGCCTATTAACTGTCCTCGACTGGGCTAGCATGTGAAAATAACTTTCGAAAGGCAAGTAAACACAGAAACATGCCAAAAAACTCACTTGAAGTGTCATATTTGATCCCTCGGAGTTGTCCCGGACAGGGCATGTGCACTAATGTCCCCGCAGGAGCAGGAGGCCAGCACGTGACGGTATCCCATGTTGCATTGCAATGCAGCGCTGTCAATCACAAAGTAGTCATCCAATGAAATTACTTCTTATAACTTGTTTAAAAACTTGTTGCAGTGCTGTCAATCACAAAGTAGTCATCCAATGAAATTACTTCTTATAACTTGTTAAAAACTTGTTACAGTGCTGTCAATCACAAAATAGTCATCCAATGAAATTGCTTCTTTTAAAAACTTGTTGCAGTGCTGTCAATCACAAAGAAGTCACCCAATGAAATTACTTCTTGTTTAAAAACTTGTTGCAGTGCTGTCAATCACAAAGTAGTCATCCAATGAAATTACTTCTTTTAAAAACTTGTTGCAGTGCTGTCAATCACAAAGAAGTCACCCAATGAAATTACTTCTTATAACTTGTTTAAAACTTGTTGCAGTGCTGTCAATCACAAAGTAGTCATCCAATGAAATTACTTCTTATAACTTGTTTAAAAACTTGTTGCAGTGCTGTCAATTACAAAGTAGTCAACCAATGAAATTACATGTACTTCTTATATCTTGTTTAAAAAGTTGTTGCAGTGCGGTCAATCACAAAGTAGTCACCCAATGAAATTACTTCTTATAACTTGTTTAAAGACTTGTTGCAGTGCTGTCAATCACAAAGTAGTCACCCAATTAAATTACATAATTATGTACTTCTTATATCTTGTTTAAAAACTTGTTGCAGTGCGGTCAATCACAAAGTAGTCACCCAATGAAATTACTTCTTATAACTTGTTTAAAAACTTGTTGCAGTGCTGTCAATCACAAAGTAGTCACCCAATTAAATTACATATGTACTTCTTATATCTTGTTTAAAAACTTGTTGTCTGAACTATTTTAACTGCCAATGTTCTGCAAAAGGCCTCTGCAAGGGTCAATATGATGTCTTTTCCAGAACTTTGCAGTATACTTTAAGATAACAGTTTTAAATATCCACAGCATAAAAATTCTCCTTCTATCCTCTATTGATGTAAAATGTGTGCATGAGTCGTTGAACTTGGAAGTTATTGATCAAACAGGAGCAATCTGTCTGGAAAATGCGACATAAGCAATTGTTGCATTGACGAGATCAATGTCCTTTTTTTAGACTTCCGTCTGTCATTAATCAAATCGTCTGTAACTACAAGATAAGGAAAGGCCAAAAGTCTGATGCAAATCGAATTTCATACACAGAAGATATGAAACCTGATACCTACGTGCCAACATGAAAGAAGATGTTCCCTATCATTCTTTAAAATTAACTCCAAAGTTATGCCCTTTTCCACTGAGGTGGCGACCATAATCTATTTATATTTCATTGATAAAGAATTGTATTTTGTAAGTTTTGTATGTTTTGTCGTCTTTCTAAGCACACTTTGATATCATGGATCACATTGAATTTGAAAAAAAGTCATAGGTCATACAAATCCAATTTTGACTAACAAGTTACTCTTGAACTAACGAAACAAAATATATAATGTCCTTGCAACACTGCATGACCTGTCACACCTAACCTTTGCACATCTAACGGTAAGCGTTGTTGAAAGCTGTCTAGTGAGGATGTGCCTTCTGTGATTAAAAAAAATGTTGACTCTTAGGCCATAGCAAGTAATTTTTGTGGATGACATCAACGTAGGCATTAATTTTTGGCTGATTTTGGAAAAAAGCAAGAAAATTTGTTGCCCTCTGACAGTGGTCAACATGCCGAAATTAAATGGACAAAGATGTCTGTTGCCATGCCGGAACGTGGATGGCAGATGAATATGAAGAGAGGGGACAAGACAAGGCTCTGATGTAATGTTTTGTCTTTTACTTTGATGCAGTGATTCATTTCATTTCTTTTATATGTGATGTTCCCACTGAATTAAAAACCATTTGTACAATGATTGAAAACTGTTATTTTTCAGTGACAACTGGATGTTATAATAGTTGGCATGTTATAATGGTTATCATTTCTTGTTTAACAAGGTTTATGATGTCGAAATTTCTTTTTATTGGATTGGCCCACCTTGTTTTTTTTCGCCCTATCGCATAAAATTTACTTGCCGTGGCCTTACTTCCGTTCAGACGCTCGTATTTTTCGCCCTATTGCTTAGATTTGGAGTCTGCGGAGGATGTCACCCATAAAATTTACTTGTCATGGCCTTACTTCCGTTCAGACGCTCGTATTTTTCGCCCTATTGCATTAGATTTGGAGTCTGCGGAGGATGTCACCCATAAAATTTACTTGTTATGGCCTTACTTCCGTTCAGACGCTCGTATTTTTCGCCCTATCGCATTAGATTTGGAGTCTGTGGCGGACGTCACCCATAAAATTTACTTGTTATGGCCTTACTTCCGTTCAGACGCTCGTATTTTTTGTCCTATTGCATTAGATTTGGAGTCTGTGGCGGATGTCACTCATAAAATTTACTTGCTGTGGCCTTAGGCTACACCGATTTAATTTCTTGGTTAACGGATTCGCCCGCTTCATTTTTTTCTGATTTGCAAATAAAAATAAAAATTCAAAATCAACTGCAAAATGCTCATATTTTGCCCTGAACAGTTGAAAACAGTCCTTTTTATCCTAGTTGTTACAGTTATTCCATCTTTCAATGCAATGTTATCATTAAAAGTTCAAAATTCATTGTTTAAATTTTGAACCAGCCTGGTATGTTGACTTCATGGCTCCTATCGTACCATTTTGGGCAATAATAGGATGTCTAGGCCTGTTTTAATTTTTTTTCGCCTGCCCGCTCCATTATTTTTCTAGAAAAATCCGTTAACCATGAAATTAAATTGCTGTGGCCTTACTTCCGTTCAGACGCTCGTATGTCTCCTGGTTTTCGGCGTGGCACGCCAGGGTTAGGAGCTGGCGCAAGTCCACATCATCAGGCAGCCTCAGGGGACTCCTTGATTGGGTACTGTTGGTGCCGACCAGCGTGCTCATCTGCAGATCAAAGAAAAATCAGTTTGAAACGCAGCCAAAAAATATAAGGTTTCGAGAAGCTACTACACTATTGCTATATTGTTGAGGCTTTAAAAATAAAATAGAAGATTTTGTGATTGTGTTCTGGTACCGACTTGGTCACCAAGCTGCTCATCTGAAGATCAAATCAAATCAGTTTGAAACGCAGCCAAAAATATATGTTTTCGATAACCTTTGAGAATCTACTGCTATATTGTTGAGGCTTTAAATATAAAATATAACATTCCATGATTGTGTTCAGGTACCGACTTCGTCACCAAGCTGCTCATCTTCATTATGCGCAGATCAAAGTTTTGAAACGTAGCCAAGAATAAGTTTTAAGAAATACCTGACCAGTTGTCGTTTTCTTAGAGAAATATCTACTGCTATTTTGTCGGGCAGTTTTAGAAAATTCGTGAACCTGTACGAGTCTTTGTCATGTTCAGTTTTTTTCCATTTCCTTCACATATAATTAGTGTCCACTTGTTCTCTCAGTTCATTTTAGTGACGGTGTCGCTCGAAACATCCGAAAGTAATCTCCGTAATTTATCCAAAGATGTCTAACCACCATCAACCTTCATCGGTTTTCGTGCCTGTGTTTTTGGTACCGACTTGGTCCATAGAAGAGCATTTTTGAAACGCAGCCTTCATTCAGCCAAAACTTCATTCGCTAGTGCCCCCACTTCGAACATTCTCAGCAAGGACACGTCTTGCCACTTCCAGTGAAGCAAATCACCCTTTCTTCCTCCATTCACCACCTCTTAGGAGGAAGTTCCACACTGAAAGCTTCTTTCCCAGAACAACATCACTTTGGAATAAGCTACCTCGTGATTGTTTCCCTTATGAGTATAACCTTAAACTTTACAAGTGTAAGGTCAACAAACACCTGTCCTAACTGGCTGTACTGTAACCCAAAACATTTTGAGTGGCTCCCATGAGCCTTGTTTTGTGGTGACCTATGAAGTAAATTAAAAAAAAAGCCGAGCCAAATTGAAACACAACCAAGAGATGTCAGCTCTCGTTTTCTTGGAAAATATCTACTGCTTTGTTGTCAGGCAGTTGTTGGAGATTTCGTGATTGTGTTTTCTGTACCGGCCTGGTCACCAAACTACAGAGCAGATTTGAAATGAAATCAGTTTGAAACACAGCCAAGAAAATGCCAGTTCTCGTTCATGTTGTCAGGCAGTCTTAGGAGATTTAGTAATTTTGTTTTGGCACCGCCTTGGTCACCAAGCTGCATTTGCATCTGCAGAGCACTGAAGAGAGCAGTTTTGAAACGCAACCGAGAATCAGTTTGAAACGCAGCCAAAAAAATGTCAGTTCTCGTTTTCTTGGAGACAAATCCACTGCCGTAATAATGATTCTTGTAGGGCAGTTTTAGATTTATGATTGGGTACTGTTGGTGCCGACTATAGCAAGCTGCTCATCTACAGACCAAAGAAGATGGCCAGTCTTGAAACGCAGCCAAGAAATGTCAGTTTTCATTTTCTTGGGGACATATCTACTGCCGTTATTATGGTTATTGTCGGGTAGTTTTAGATCTATGATTGGTTACTGTCGGTGCCGACTGGTGTGTTACGCTGGTGTGTTACGTCGAATGGCGGTTATACCGGCTATACTGATACAGATACAGACTATAGCAAGCACAGATAAAAATAAGATGACCAGTCTTGAAACGCAGCCAAGTAAGAAATGTCAGTTTTCATTTTCTTGGAGACAAATCCACTGCCGTAATTATGGTTATGGTCGGGTAGTTTTAAGAGATTGGGTATGAGTACTGCTGATGCCGACCATAGCAAGCTGCTCTTCTGCAGACCAAAGAAGATGGCCAGTCTTGAAACGCAGCCAAGAAATGTCGGTTTTCGTTTTCTTGGAGACAAATCTACTGCCGTAATAATGGTTATTGTCGGGTAGTTTTAGGAGACTGGGTATGAGTACTGCTGATGCCGACTATAGCAAGCTGCTCTTCTGCAGACCAAAGGAGATGACCAGTCTTGAAACGCAGCCAAGTAAGAAATGTCAGTTTTCATTTTCTTGGAGACAAATCTACTGCCGTAATTATAGTTATGGTCGGGTAGTTTTAAGAGATTGGATATGAGTACTGCTGGTGTCGACCATTGCAAGCTGCTCATCTGCAGACCAAAGAAGATGGCCAGTCTTGAAACGGAGCCAAGAAATGTCAGTTTTCATTTTCTTGGAGACAAATCTACTGTCGTAAAAATTATCATGGTTATTGTCGGGTAGTTTTAAGAGATTGGGTATGAGTACTACTGGTGTCGACTATAGCAAGCTGCTCATCTGCAGACCAAAGAAGATGGCCAGTCTTGAAACGCAGCCAAGAAGAGCCAAGTCAGTTTTCGTTTTCTTGGAGACAAATCTACTGCGGTAATAATGGTTATTGTCGGGTAGTCGGAGATTGGGTATGAGTACTGCTGATGCCGACTATAGCAAGCTGCTCATCTGCAGACTAAAGAAGATGACCAGTCTTGAAACACAGCCAAGTAAGAAATGTCAGTTTTCGTTTTCTTGGAGACAAATCTACTGCCGTAATAATGGTTATTGTCGGGTAGTTTTAAGAGATTTTATGATTGGATATGAGTACTACTGGTGCCGACTATAGCAAGCTGCTCATCTGAAGACCAACGAAGATGACCAGTCTTGAAACGCAGCCAAGAAATGTCAGTTTTCATTTTCTTGGAGACAAATCCACTGGCACTGCCGTAATTTTGGTTCTGGTCGGGTAGTTTTAAGAGATTGGGTATGAGTACTGCTGATGCCGACCATAGCAAGCTGCTCATCTGCAGACCAAAGAAGATGACCAGTCTTGAAACGGAGCCAAGAAATGTCAGTTTTCGTTTTCTTGGAGACAAATCTACTGCGGTAATAATGGTTATGGTCGGGTAGTTTTAGGAGACTGGGTATGAGTACTGCTGATGCCGACCATAGCAAGCTGCTCTTCTGCAGACCAAAGGAGATGACCAGTCTTGAAACGGAGCCAAGAAATGTCAGTTTTCGTTTTCTTGGAGACAAATCTACTGCGGTAATAATGGTTATGGTCGGGTAGTTTTAGGAGATCGGGTATGAGTACTCCTGGTGCCGACTACAGCCTTCTCAAGCTGCTCATCTACAGACCAAAGAAGATGGCCAGTCTTGAAACGCAGCCAAGAAATGTCAATGGAGACAAATCTACTGGCCATATTGTCGGGTAGTTTTAGGAGATTTCCTGATGAAGTACTTGTACCAACTAAGTTTGTTATCCGCAGACCAAAGGGATAAAAGTAACGACAGCAGTCTGGAACACACCCAATGAGTAACCCATTGCCCTGGACGAAAAATGGTCTTGTTGCGGCTCTGAGGCAGGGCGTCCTCGGCACTGTAAGCCTCTCTCCCCGCATAAGCCTCTACATGTATCCCCGCCTGGGAAATTTATTCTACGCTGTGATTACTTGCCTACTTGAATCAATGCACGAACATCGTGTTATTCCTTAGGGGGTCTGAGGTGAAATTTGCTCGGGGGCATGTTGGCCCTGGTGCTGAAGAGCTGTCCGGTGGTAACCGTGATAATTTCTCGACACCGGGTTAGGCCCTGGGGCGCATATTACATGACTTTCGATAATCACAAGTCGGTATCTCTTTGCTGAGTCTATACAGTCATTGGTGAATCAACAATTTGGAGATGGAGGAAAATGACTAAACCGCCAATGATGATAATAACAAACTATACAACACACACACACACACACACACACACACACACACACACACACACACATACAGGGAAACACACACACACGCGCGCGCCCACACACACACACACACACACACACACACACACACAGCGCGCGCGCACAAACACACGCTATGGAAAACATAACCTTGGCAAAGGTAACTAGAAATGTGAATGCAAAGTAAATGCATAATGTTTACCTTCATATGATCTAGCCTAACAAACTACTTCTGTTAATTCGTAACTCAAACACATTCACATACTAGTACATGTGTATGGCGACAAGCACTGTCAACTCTGGGGTTTCTGCTACAGCACTAGTTACCATGCTTGCAGAAGTCTGGTTCAGGTCATTGACCTTATGCGTTGGGAGAAGAGGAAGAAATTGAGCAAAAACAATGTACGTAAAACGTGTGAAAAGTCAATGACCTGCTAGTAATTCCTGCCTCTGGCATCGATCGTACTGAGTCTTTGAACAAATTCATGCGATCAAAGAGCAAGAAATTTCAAAGAGAAGAAAGACATGACGTAAACCATATTATCTAAATCAAACTGAAAGCAGTTCTTGACGTAAACAATCATCATATTTACTACAATTCAAGTCAACCACCTGTTTGGTTTCAACACCTATGATCAAAGGGGTGTTTTTGTGAGGTAGATTCCACAAGAATACATCTTCCTGATGCCTGATGCTTTATGGAATTTTAAGTTCTTTCAAAATCGTTTCATGGTTTATAATACACCCACTGATCTTTTAGTTTGATTTGCAAGAAATTAATATTGATAGCAATACAGCCATTGATTGTAACATATTTGTAACAAATTAATATTGATGTGCAGTACAGCTATTGATTGTAACGTAAATCTTGTCTTCCGGTCTTGCCCCGTCTTTTGGAAACTGAGCGACAGTGTAGAATGTTGAAAAGGAAAAAGCACGAACCATGGTTACCAAGAGCCTTTGATATTAAACTTGATTAACCCTCAGGCTTGAACTCTGCGACTTGCCTGTACCAGACTTCTCATGGGACTTCTTCTAGGGTTAAACTACTGCAGTGGTGACCAGGCATTGATTGAGAGGGTACAACACAGGGCTACAAGACTGGTATCCTCCTTACAAGAAGATGTAGCGGGTGCAACGTATGGCAAAATATACATACATAGTTTGTGGTGTTAACATACACATATGGTGGTGTTGAGAATATCTAACAGTTCTACTAATTGTAATAGGAATCTGGTCTGCTTCATAAACAATGTA